AACGGTTGAGTCTTAAGCTATAATATGATAAAATGGGTGGTGGCATTCACGTAGTGATGCCTATGTACTCCACTAATCAATTAAGACCAGCTGGGTCAGGGCTCGTAAAGGCATTTAAGCAACAAAAGGTTCAAATGTTGTACAATTCAAGGTAAATCGAAGACCTTTTAAGTGCAACAAGAGGCATGCTAGCAGTTTTAACAGAATGGTGTTTCATTTACATACATTTACCGACACTAATGGTCGCCCAATGGTCGAAACTCGATCATAATTATTTTAAATTTTAAGTCTGAACATTACTTTGGTTCTATTGTCACATTTCTATAATCATCATTGTTCTTTATTCACAGATTTCGTCACTATTGACAAATAATATTAAAGACAAACATTAATTAATCTATTCTCAATTTGACCACAGACTAACAATAAACAAAAGAATATAGAGGCGTGTGTTTGTGTGTCAAATACACGGTAGTGTGTGTAATGTTTTTTTATTAATTAAATGTATTTTTTATGCATAATTTTAAAAATATATTAGCTTTCTACACTCCGTCTCTATAACTGGAAAATTTCATTCTCCTCCGTCCGCGTATTTTTTTTTAAAAAGGAGTACAAACTTTTGTTCACGTATTAATATATAGATAATTTACCAACATTGATCAAGACTGAGTTTCTTTTCTCAGAAATAAAAAGTAGAGGAATAAAGATAGGACTTTTTTTGTATTTATATTATTAGTTTGTTTTTTAAATACATTGTTTTTATTTGTGTTTAAAATATGTTATTTTTTTAAATACAGACATAAACAGAATTTCTTTTTAGAAATTCTGTTTTTCTGTGACGACTTTTAACACAAACGATCTTATACAAGTTATGTTCGAAAGCAGAAATGTGATCTCAATATAGTACTCTTTTTTTTCTATTTCAGTTGAATTTTAAGTAAATAGATTCTAAAGTTCTGTAAAACAAAAAAAAATTGTTAAATTTTAAGTACCACCCAAAAACGACCAGTAAATTCAAATGTAGTCAGTAATACGAAATGAGAAATTATAGTATTTCCTATAAATTAAGGTTTGAGTTCGATATAACTGACAGACTGTTGCTTACTGCACTGTGGTTATGTTCGTCTTGACAACACAATAAATAATGTGACAAGGGTTATCTCGTCCAAGTTATATTTTACACTCAAAATTATGTTAGTGACGTGTATTATTTATCCGGCTTTAAAATGAGGACTACACGTGCACGTCCCAAAATTGTAATTGACAATCTAAAACGTTAACGAATTAATTATGTAAAAAAAAAAAGATTTTCCTCTAGTCGTTTCGTCTTTGGTTAGTTCAAAGTTAAAGAGGTATTATTAAATGAAGCATTGGGCATTTTTGAGATCGGAATGAAATGTGCTTGCGGCTCACCCGAGTGATTCAAGAATCGCATTTTTAGTGATATATGTTGTAGCGTTTCAAAAAAACTAATCGTGAAACGTATCTGTGCCTTGAAGACGGTGCGACACCCATCGTCTTCAAGGCGGTCTGGGTGTTGGATTTGGGTGACTACGACTCCTACGCGAGTAGGGCGAGGCGCGTCAAGGCCCTAAACAAATGCGCCAAAGTCTTCATCGATCCACGGCTGTTTTACAGGCTGTCTATGCGATTCGTTCTTCTGTCGTAAACTTGCGTTTTTTTATTTATTCAAGGCGTAATTGGATAAATGAGGTCACTGTCTAGCTAGTGCTAATTGGTTATCAGAGGTCACAGTAATAACAATATGAATGCTGCGACCAATCTTGAGTCATGAATTTTTTTCTTATGCTGATAGCCTTGAGAGGCTATTTCATATGGGTTAATTTACTCGTCGAGCCTTTCGTCGCAAGCAACAGGTTCGGCGAGAACGGTTTCAGTCCCATAGTTTCACTCTTCAAAGCGGAACGCATGACTGCTTCATAGCAGAAATAGACAGGGATGGTGACATCCATGCGGGCCTATAGAACGCTACCATCAGTAAAATGCAGAGGAATCGCTCAACGAGGTCGCTCCTGCAGGGTGTCAGTAACCCGAAGCGGCTAACGGATTTCATTGAGGAGCTGGGTTGCTAAAAACTATTTACCAACCGTATGCAAAACAGGCGTAAAGATATAGCTCGTTCATTACCTACTGTTAAGGTCTAATTTGCTTTAATAGTAAGTGATATAACCAGACTATTACCACACGACCACATTCCAAAAATTTAAAAGAACGAAGATTCAAATAATACACTGAGATATTTAGAAATCGTTTATTATCAATAATATTCACATCGTCACGCAGCCGCTTTCTTAGTTTTCTTCATCAATTACAATTACAATGTAATTATTACAATTATCTTCCCATATATACACAACATTTCGCCTAAAACTAAATAACGCTTATTTAAAAGAAACCTTAGGTTATTGTGAAATGAACAAAAATTATTTCTAATGGGCTCCAAACGATTTGGTAATCTTAAAAAACATTTTAAAGTATTATTATCAATCGTTTGTTTAATATACAATTGTATTCATACAAAATGTACAAAATTAAAAGAGTTATAAATTATGATAATTTAATTAACTGGTAAGACAAACACAAAGTCAAAATCGCTTATCTACTATCGCCTATATAAATATGTTTTCTCATCTTTATGTGAACATGTTGTTTTAGTTTGGTATGTACTAACGAGCTTTATATAAAAAAAACAACAGATATATTTTTCATGATGTCAATACTAAAACGTAAGAAAAAATGTCAAACATGAAAATGAATTTGAATCTTAAAGAGTCAGTTATTACGATCGAAATTGGAACATTCGGCGAATATTCGTATGATTTAAAAGCGATGTAACTCACACGGCGTTTGTCTCTTACGCTAGTGTCGAAACACAAAGTAATGCAGTGCTATTATTATTCTTAGATTATGGTTTCAACTTAAAAACGTTTTTTTCAGACAGCTGTCGTGAAAACTTATAGACTAATTCCTCAGAACTTCAGCGTCCTTACTTTATTATTTACAATTTTATTTATACTTGATATGCTTTAGATTAAGATATCGTGAAATTATCTAGGTAAAAGATACTGCTTTGGTTCACTAAATTTCTGTAAGCTATTTTCAGCGGTTTTTTTAATATTATTATCATTTACACGACGATAGTAAAACTTATTACGTTTTTAAATTTTAAAAAGATTGACAACCACCGTCTTTATGTGAGTGAAGAATGGACAGAAGCGAAATTACGAATCTAGTATATTCTGTAATATTTACAGGTAGCTAGGAAATTATAATAGTCAAAGTTTTTGGAACGAAGTTCCTTATGGGACGATGCGGAGGGGTATCCTAACCAGGAAAAAACGTCCGTAACGTAAGATTTTTATTAGTAATGCACACAGGGTACGACTTAACTTTGTAATAAGCTTTGCAATTGACCACGATCTCAGAGCGTTCGTTTGCGCAATACACTCTTATGCAAACAACCGTGAATGAAGTGTACCACAATAAGTTCGCACGTTGCCGAATGACCGTGGGTTGTTGCGAAACCTCCAGTTTTATTTTCTTTATACCTCGAATAGAACTTAAAATTAATATTTTTATAATAAGGAACTTCGTTCCTATCCGGTGTCCCACGACACCACACATCTTTTTATTTTTCGTTCACCGGCAAGACCGGCGAGCAGCGTTGCTGGAGCATTTCAAATATGTATGTTTGTACCAACCGGCACTTTTATGCTGACGGGCATAATATTCCGATATGTCGTCGCAGATAACTTTTCGGTGAGTGTGAATCGGTTACGACAAATCGTTATCATGTCGGTGAATGAAAAATTCCCTTAAAGTAGATACGAATTAATAACTCAATAAAGTTTACTCACGTACAAATTGAAACGACCACCGACCACTCATCCGATACGATATCCTCATTATAGTATTGCCAATTTAAGTATTATAACTTATGTTAAGTGATTGAGTTCGGCACAATGCGCTCGCGTTATGGCAACACCAGCTTGATATTGCTTTATTTATGATAATGGCCAGACTCATAGTGCCCAAAAAATCCAATCCCAATCAATCAAGACATTAAAATCTCTTCTCGGTGAAATGTTTTTGAGTATTAATAATTATTTTCACAAATTTTGTTTCGAGTTTTATAAAATTATTAGAAGTTTATTTAATAAGTCAAAAAACGTGTCAGAAAGTAATACGTGTCAGAGAACAAAAGTAAAGTAATTAAAGGTTCGTTTCGTTGAAATAATTAGTTTTTGTGTTTACAACACGGTGTATTAATATTCGGTTCTTAATTATATTTGTACGTAATGAAAGCCTACTCAAAATAGAACGATCTAATAAATAGTAAAGGCTAAGTATGGCGTTTCAATGGAAAAAATATTAATAAGGAAGAAATGCTTTCTGGCCAATATGTCGTTAAGAGTAACAGATACGATTATTAATTGAAAATAGCATTTCAAGTTAAAGCTTTTACGGCCTAAGAAGTCACGGGTAATTACTGATTTAAGCAATGAAAAATGTCAATATTTTTCAAATGTCAATAGTTGACTAGATAGTAGTAGTAGACTGGTAGATTTTACAAAACAAGTCCGTCCTCAAGTCGTTAGCTCGTTCTTAAGCAACTTGGTAAATCCCACTAAGACTTTTCGTGATAATCTGTTGGCACTTACTACGGTCAGCGGCATAGCACCATCAATATCTTGTATCCAATTGTTGTCATTTGTTGTCTTTGTGACTTGATCGATCAGACATTTAAGGCTCCGCTTCACGAATCTTTCCTTTTATATCTTTACCCTTAATATTGATTTGTCATTGAGGTTTCTTTTGATGTGCCCAAAACAGAATCTGTGTTGGATCCAAGTGGCAACGGACCTTAAGAGATTAATGAGATTAAAGAGGCCTATGTTCAGCCTTGGACAGCTATAGGCTGAGATGAGTGTCCAAATCACCGGAGCACTCTCTAAGCTTATACTGTGAGTAGTCTCTGATCCAAGTTCATCCAGGACTGACTCAATATGATTTGCAAAATAAGGGTTTTCAACATCGGCTTCCCAGAGGTACTGCTACAATTTTCTAATATGAGTTTTGGTGTTAATGTGTGCTCCAAACTGCCCACCCTTCCACCTATTTGGTATTTTGACCGAAACAGATTAGTTAGTTTTTTAAAGTCGAATAACTGTTATTACAATACAAATGTGAGTTGCACCTAGCTTTCACGCTGAACCACATATGGGCCGTAACTCCACTGCTAATAAAAACGGAGTCTGGTCTGTTTTCTATTAAAATATAGTTACATGCTCTTTGTTATATTATCATAAATAGAATACCAGAACGACTTAAATGTCCCAGTAATTTATTTAATTCGTATTGTAAAATACCACACTTATAGTCTATGTGAAATTTTGGGTATTTTGAACAGCAATTTATTTGATTCGCATATTTTGAAGCCTCCTGTGACTCTTCATCTCATTTTCCAATATCAGTCTCAGTTGAGTTGTAGAAAATAATGAACAAATCGTAAAATGATTTTAAGATCCAGACCTATAGGGTAGAGAGCCTGTAGAGAAAATGGTCTGATTTGTATGACCCGTTCAATTGGTTGGTAGTTTGACGTGCGGATGGAAGCTATTTTGTTCATCGTGACTCGCAAACCAAGCAATCAATCAATTAGCAGGTCGTTTATGCTTATTTTTAGATCAAATAAGCACGGTTGACCGGCCCTATTTAATTGTTTTGAAAAGTCGCTTGTTCAAATTCGCACGAACGACGAAACTAAGCATTTGCTCAGCCATCCGTTTTGTTCCCGTAGTCTTAGCAACCTAGTTGCGATTCATTCAATCGCCAACCCGAAAGCTACACAACTAATGCATGTAGTACAAAGTATAAGTGGTCAAAGTGCCTCTTGACGTGCGCCAGAATGGTCTCAAAGGAGCACAAGCGCTCAAACCAAGTTCTAAGTAGTTGATGAAGTCATTTTTCATGGAATTTGATTTATATTCTACTCTTTTATTTTTGGTTCTATTTTGTGTAGGCTAATTACAAGTTAAATGATTAACCAATATAGCACGATATTATAGAGTTTTTACACTTAAAATAATGACATTATTTAACTTGATAATTTTGGTATTTAATTAAATGTTAAAGCCATTGTAATTGGAGCAAACAATACGCTTTTGATTTACAGCAAATACGTAACATTTAAGCGTCATCCAAATGTTGTTTTGAATGTACGTAAAATAAAACAATAACTATTAACAAATTGACCGATAGATATTTTTAAAATCGAATTTAATGAAAACTTATCATCTTACGGATTGCAAAAACATTTTGATAATTATTGCATTTGTGCTTATTATTGTTGGTATAATATAAAAACTACTATTTGTTACAAAATAAAGGTATGGCAACATTGAAATCAGAATCAGTGTGGCTAGGGAAAAATCTGGACCGATGCTTGCTGCAACAGATTCGGTAGTTGGCAACCAGTTGTTGTCGAGAACGGACTGCTCTATCACATTTTGCATTGTATCTATAAACAAACATTCATTACGTCGATTAAGTCGTTGATCAATTAATATAATTATCAGACCGTTATAAATTTCAAAATGTTTCACATGATAATTATTTTTGCCTTTGATTTATTTAATTTTGAAAACATATCGACGCTTGAAAGCCAAACGTGACTAAGCGACAATGCGTGAACTTTACAGTAGACTAATTTAAAGTTGAAAGACCTCTTTTACTGGTGGTAGGACCTCTTGTGAGTCCGCGCGGGTGGGTACCACCACCCTGCCTATTTCTGCCGTTAAGCAGTAATGTGTTTCGGTTTGAAAGGTGGGGTAGCCGTTATAACTATACTTGAGACCTTAGAACTTGTATCTCAAGGTGGGTGGCGCATTTACGTTGTGGATGTCTATGGACTCCAGTAACCACTTAACACCAGGGGGGCTGTGAGCTCGTCCACCCATCTAAGCAATAAATAAAAAATACTAATTAAAAAAAAACCTGAAAAAAATTCTATTTTAACAAATCTAGCTGTAGGATTGAAATGATTTTAATAGACCTAGAAATATATATTTTTTGCGCATCGAATATGGTTATTGCCTATCATTTATGTAAAAAGCAGTTATTGTCGCTTAGTCACGTTTGCCTTTCAAGCGTCGATGTACACATTGTCTTGCAAGTCACACAACAAGAGTTTAAAAAGAGATTGTTATGATCGATAGAAATAATTACCGTAAGTAGTCACGTCCGGTGTGTAGAATTTTTGTTCGGCAGGTTGTAATGGAACTACAAATCCTGCGAAATGAGAATAATCAAGAGTTAAATCTGTAAAACCGATATTAGTCTTTAACAAGTAAGAGATACCAACTGCGTTCGACAGAGACCGCAATAGATAGAACCGCGCCCTGGGTAGCAGATTGCGCCCACCCATTTTTGGTTGTTGATGTCTTGGTGCGACGGTGACAGTTTATCAGGACGACTTCGTTGACAAAAGAAATGTAGAGATTACTTTAACTAATTTTATAATCAAATGAAGGTAAAATCGCTTTGGTTTTGCTTTACGCAAAAGAGTACAGTAGCGGACTTAATGCCTAAAGCATTCTGTACCAGTCAACCAAGGTGTAGACAGGACTGCGGTAGGTTCGTTGGTTAATTGAATGTATATCAAAATCTGTATCATTAATGTAATTCTAAATATTAAATCTAAATATTAAAGCTATGGGAAGAGATCAGGTGCTGTTATTGTAGGTCGATACCAGATAGTCAGATTGATCCCAATTTAGATATAATAATTGGTACTGTCACACCGCGCGTGGTACCCAAGCCTTATGTGTTTCAGGTTTATTGGGTAAAGTCTTACGTGGCAGTTCCGTTGTTGTCGGGGCTGGTGTGGTTGTAGTGGTGGTTGTAGTTGTAGATGTTGTGGTAGTCGTCGTTGTTGTTGTAGTAGTAGTAATTTTGATTTCTGTTAACGAACAATAATACGAGTTAAAACTTTAGGTGTTAAGGATTGATTTTTAATCAGTAGTAGTAGTTAGTTCATCAAATTACATAGTAGACTAAGAAAAGGCGAAAACGAATATTTTTAAATACTTTGTAATGATACAAATATGAATTAAATTAGTATCGCTTCATTTGTTTGTGTTGCATTTGATGTTGAACAACTTTTATTTGATTACTAATCAAATCCAGTCTTTGGCAGCTTCGGTGGCCGATCTTTAATTTCACTTTGATCCGATCGTTACCAAACTTCAAGATCACTCGAATTGCCAGTCTTCAATTTTCTAAAAATTTCATCGAAATCATTCCGGCCGCTTCGAAGACTTTAAGAAACATAGATTAAACATGAACGCCAAATTTGTTTACTTATTATTGGAGAAAAATTGTTAAGAAAAATTCAGTACAAATTTTGTTTCCAAGAATTTTATCTAGTTCTTTACTTAGATTTGGTATAAATCTAAAAAATGCTCTATAATAGGAGGTTGATCTAAAAATTAAATTCGCTATTTTTATTTATCTTAGTGATCCTAGTCAGGATATTAGATAAAATATAATAAAATGATTGTACTAACATCGGTTCTTTTAATAATCAATCCAATTAGCAACTTCATAGAACTCACCATAAAGTCTTAATGTCCCTTCCGACTTTCCCATTGTATTTGTAGAGACGCACGTGTAGGTGCCTATATCTTCAGGCTCAAACTTCGAAATCTGTAGAATGGTTCGGAGTTGGTACTGGGATATTCGATCTTCCGTTAAATTATATTTGGAACTGGAACATAAGGTTCAGCTTTAAATCACATCTGTGGACGGGTTTCCATGTGCAATGGTCATTAGCGTTGCATGAACAAAGTCCTGGCTGTGGCTATTACCATTGAGAACTATTCAAATATAGTTTGAGGAAGGAGATGTTTTCGGTTTCAAAGTTCCTTACAAAAAGATGCATACTCCAGTATTTCATCAACTAGTGAGCCCAGTTTATCTAATAAGACCCAATTTTTTAGAGCGAATTCCCTAATACCGATAGATTTTAAGCTACAATAAACTATTTATAATTTAGGTGAATTCCATAAAAAAATAAGGTTAAATGCTGTTGCCGATACGAAGCCGTTATAAAATAGTTTTAGACGATGAATTTTGTGTTCGGTTTAAATTTTAAGTGAGAGTTTAACATTGTTTCACTGAGCTTATATAAATCCGTACAAATTTATTTTAACCGATTCACTGGAATTTACGGCTGTTACGTTTATCGAGCGGGCTCAAATTTTAAAACACTGTTTAATGTTAAATCATGAAAGTTGTTGTTCGCATCCAGTTTCTTGTACTAGATTAGTAGAAATGCTTGTTATATAAAAGGGGAAATTTCATTAAAATAACAGAAATCTGGAACGCATGAGTGTTCTACAATAATAGTAACTAGGATGGTGGTACCTGTAATGCGTCTCAAGACCGATAATTTATGAAGTTGAAGTTATTTGGTAAATTAATTTATTAATAAATTCCTTTGAATACTGTATAAACCATTACATTGATGTATGCATGTATATATTTTTGTTTATGTATTTGTAATTTAATATAAATTTCATTGCACCTACTACCATTTACTCTGCACTACCTTTGGTTGACTGGTAGAGAATGCCTTAGGCATTAATTTCGCAAATGTAAATTTTACATCAAGTGTAATAAATAAATAATTAATTTTGTTAAAGACATTTTGAAATTATTGTAAATTTACAGCATTGTAAGCCTAATACGCAAACCATTTAGTGTAGTTATGAATCTCAGTCATGAGTCAAACACGAGCAAGAACTTGCTAATATTTATGAGACCAGTTAAGATGTTGCGTAATAAAAATAAGCCGAGTAAAACTCATTGATCACAAAGACTGCCACCGACCTCTATTCTCATTCATCTCCTTAGAATGAGCTGGTAGGTTTTTTAATCAGATTGTGTATAATATTCTAACAATAGGTGTAACTTAAGACCGTATTATCTAAACAACAAAAACTAACTATTACTGCTACCAAGAATAACAGCCTTGAATGCGCTTATATCATATTCCAACAGTTACAATATGAAAGTAGTATTGATGATATCATGATTATTATTATTGAAAGCAGAGAGTAATCGGAATGTAAATCCACCAATAACTACGACCTATATAGTCCATTTTCACTAATCTATTTTATTAAATATCTTTGTTCCAGTCCAAAATCGAAGATCAACTAAGAATATAATATGTTAAAGAGCTTCTTTATATTTTGAGTATATATGGAGAAGTTTGTTTGGCTTCCTCCGTCGTCTTCCACAGTATCGTGTTCCATTAGCAGTTTCTTGTTTCTTAGCCAACTATCCCCACGGTGTTAGGTGTTTTATTAGAGCCCGTTGGTTTGTATACATATAACTTTGTTATCAAAATAAATAACATAAAACATGAGATCAAATTCTCAAAAGTTTTAGAATACCTGTGTCTCCGCGTTTCAGATTGATTATATGTGTATGTATATATTTTAATTTGTAATTTTTTTTAATATTTTGTTTAGGAAATTAGGTCAGAAAGTCTCTGGGAGGGAATTGGTAAATGAGTAAATGATATTGCGACTATGAGTGATTATGATATTGAATGATATATATGAGTGACTAATGAGTGAAACGTACGTAGTGGCAATGACAAGACGAGATAGAGTTGCTTTCCTCGAATAAAAAACCAGATATATTACTAATACCATTATATACCCTCTAACTTAATCATGCCCTGAAATTCTCTTTAAGATAATTAGTTTTTCCTTTTTGATCGACTTCATAAAAGGAGAAGGTTCTTAGTTTGACTGTACTTTTTATTTGTGTCAACACTTTTATCGATGTGAACAGATCTTTATAATTGCTTTCAAGTGCTTCTTTGGCTGTGGTATTTAAGTATGTCTAGATCTGTCCACTACTTTTTAGTTGTTCTTAATAATATACATTTAATTGTCTTTGACGACATCGATGACGTATGATTAGGACTATTCGAAATGACTTATAACAAATAAACAATTGTTTTAATTTATTCATCAATATTATTGGAAATAAACAGGAATAAATATTAACAAAAAAAAAACACTAGACAAAACACAACAGAATACAGGAGATATGCGCAAAAAAAACAGGTTTAAAAAATCATTTTTCATTCGCGTTCATAACTTACTTGGAAAGAATCATCTCTTCGCCGCTCTTGAGCCAATAATTAATAGCTTGTGGAAACGCCTCGACGAAACATTCCAGTTTGGCTTGTGATCCTGTTGGCACGCCGATGACCTTGGTCGCCACCAGGATTGATGGTGGAACTACGTTTTAGAATAACACATTTGGTTTTATAATATTATTAGCAATCCAGTCGATACGGTGAATCAGAATATTGAAGTCTAAGGGCATTATAGCTATTATATTTGTAATACTACCCACAAATCATACACCTTATCTACGAAATTTTAAGGTATAATTTTATGCAACGTCTTTAAAAGAAACGAATTTTCGATATTAATTTGAAAAATGCTGATATTGATATGTATATTCATTCATTATTATTCATTATACCCGTTTCTAATAAATTAATAGCAAAAAAGGGGTTGGATTTTTGTGCTTTTAAATTTAAAACAATATAGAATCTCCTTTTGCCCTTAAATAGTGGTGAAATTATCAAAAATGAAACTTTAGTAAACGCTCACAACATAAATACTATATCAACTGCGACTATTTAAATCCATAGAGATTTAGGCTCTGACTTAAATGATAAGTCAGTCACGGCAAATAAATGCGGAAAGATTTTAGTAAGTTAAAGATGCGATTAATCATAGGACAGATTTTCTTTCCTAAAGTTCCAAAACTAATTAAGTTTAACTAAGTTTCAATCTAGGGGATAGAAATTTTTTTTACTTACATTGTTCAATCAACTTATTATTATTTACCTTTCGTTCCTATATACCTAGTGTATATGCCCATTTTTTTACCGTTTTCAAACATCGAGCAAACAAATTTTGTGAATAAAATTTATATTTATTAATAGTAACTTCTTTGATTTCGATTCGGCACAGGCATTTTCAGACCGAGAGACACTTTTCAGTGCTCTAGAGATTCCAGGAGGTTTGAAAGACGAGAACGCAATAGACTTTTTATAAGCGACCCTACTGGAATTTCTACTGTGAAACATTCCTTGAACTTGCCGTATACAATTGTAAATTCGAAATGGAGAAACTATTTTCGAACGTACAAACTACGATCAAAACAATAAATGTTCCTTTAATATAAAATATTTAAACATTTGTTTTTTATTGCTAGATGGGTGGACGAGCTCACAGCCCACCTGGTGTTAAGTGGTTACTGGAGCCCATAGACATCTACGACGTAAATGCGCGACCCACCTTGAGATATAAGTTCTAAGGTCTCAAGTATAGTTACAACGGCTGCCCCACCCTTCAAACCGAAACGCATTACTGCTTCACGGCAGAAATAGGCAGGGCGGTGGTACCTACCCGCGCGGACTCACAATAGATCCTATCACCAGTAAAAGATATCGAACTGCTTACTTACAGTTAACATTCAGCATTATCCTTTTGCTGACTGACGGTGGAACTTCATTTGACGCGATGCAAAGATATGCTCCCATCTGTCGTCGTTCTACTTTTGTTAGGTTTAAATTTGGTCCCATAAACATGTCAACTGCACAGAAAAGACCAGTTTGTTATACAAAAAAATATATGGTAGTAATAGCATTATCTTAAAAATTTAATACCTATCCTTCACCCAGATTTAAAATTCTTTAAACTTCTCGTTCAATTTGATACCAAAATTCCTTGAAATAGATTCATTTTGACCGGCTTTTGTATACGGAATAATTCTGTGAAATCCCTGTGAATTAGTTCTTTGACCTATTAATGGCTTAATTGAATTTAAAGTCGGGGAGTACTGAAAATATTCCTTTATTATCCAAAGTTAATTAAAATAATGTCAAAGGGTACATTTTACCTTGTTAATACGATTTTCTTTCTTATAACTGAAAACATTTTTGTGATCATTATCCCTAATTCTAATGCATTTTGTATTAAAAGACAAACGATTTGTAATTAAAAAAAAATATATATTTAAATACTTAATTCAAAAATAAATTAATTTAAATATCGACTTTTAATTTAATTTCTTTTTGAGTTAAGTTTGTGAATGTGTTACAATTAATGATATTCTATGTAGCCTCTGTTTGGACGTTAGCTGTAAATTAGACGTGCCTTTGAAGTTTAAATGTATTTCTTATATATAGAGAAAGAGAGACGCGATTGTGTTACGTAAAATAAAGTACTTAAACCACTTTAAGATTTTTTTTTATTTTTCTAAGGCTTTAATAATACATTTACAAACTTAATTCAAAAAGAAATGAAATAAAAAATCGTATGTCTTTTAATACAAAATGCATTAGTATTAGGGGTAATGATCACAAAAATGTTTTCAGTTATACAAAAAAAGTTTAATGTACACGTATAAGCACGTGCTTTTCTTCTTTGAATATAGTACATTTATATATAGAAATTTAAAGTCCACTTAGTTTTCTTCATTATTACTACAGAGGACTTCTCGTTTCACGAGACCTGAATACCTTAATATCTGAATGAAGAGTAGTAAATTTGTGAAATTTAAATACCTAAGGAGGTCTCACAGAAGACCTTGTCGGCAGGTGTTGTGGAATAAATTAAATATTTGAAGGTGATTTCCATAATTTCTGTTTATACGCGTATCTTTAGCGGGCTAAGTTCGAATTGGACATTGTTCTAAGACAAGGGTCGTAAAGTCCCTAGAAAGCTGACAAGCGTTGTGACTGGAGGTGATTTTGTCTTACGAGTTAAAGATCTCGAGGGTATATATATAATATGATAATAATAATGCGTTAGGCAGCTGCTCAGATGGGTCATAACCTCGTCTGCCTACAAAAGTAATAAAATCATGTTTTATCTAATTGTTCTGCCCATTAAAAGTATGTATTTATAATAATTAAAAAATACCATACATTCCAAACTAAATGAGTAATGTGCAAAAAATATTTTGGTGGGATAATTAAAGTCGGAGATCTTGTTTCTGACATTTGAAAATAATGAGACATTATTTCAGTTTTACAGATATAAAACTGGTTTGTTTTACTTCATTCGATACGGTTATACACCAATACAAATTTATTTGTTTTAATGTTTGTTATGTTCGTTTTTGACACTTTTTGTTTTTGTTCATAATTATATACAAGTTTTTGAATTTGTGAATATTTAGTACAAATGCTACTATTTTAGTATTAAAATAGAATTTACCTGTAAATTTTTTTACATTATTGTTCACGTTTTATACATTTTTACAATTAATTAACTCGTTATTTTTATGTTTAAAATAAAAGTATTATTAGGTGTACATTTAACTACATTACATTATATACATACAGTACTATATTAAACATTTGCCGGTTTGTTTTATCAATATAATGAAATAAAATTTTAATCATATCAACGCGCTTCGATAGAAAAGTGGTTGGACCGATTTAGATATTTGTTTTGAAAATCCGGAATAGATTCAATTCATTTTTTTGGAAAAGACAACTTGGAAGCTGTCCAAATAAAAACAATTAAAAAAGAAGACCGCAATACTTATTGGAATCTGGGAAGCATAAAGACGGTCGTGTAAACTAATAAAATAATAAACTAATATAAAAATAAACTTCACCTTTTCGAAGATCGCCGGCTTCATTCCTGAGTTGAATGTTGGTACCGTCTTCTCTTCTCCACAAAATTCGCGGGAGTGGTGTTCCTTCGGCTTTGCAGGATAGACTTGTATCTTGACCTTCGCGTGCAACGAGATCTCCACTCGTGCCTTCATCTACGATGTTCGGTGGAACTGTGTAAAAGAGACAAAAAATATTGAATATTAAGTCACTAACTACTATTAGTCCACGGTTATCACAGCGTGCATGCCGCCACCCGATTTGAGGTATAAGATCGAAGCTTCCTTTGTTTTACATAACACCTTTACTGGCGGTAGGACGTCTTGTGAGTCCGCACGGGTAGGTACCACCACCCTGCCTATTTCTGCCGTGAAGCAGTAATGCGTATCGGTTTGAAGAGTGGGGCTGGCGTTGTACTGTAAAAACTGAGACTTAGAACTCATGTCTCAATTTGGGTGCCGGCATTTACGTTGTAGATGTATCTGGGCTCCGGTAACCACTTAACACTAGGTGGGCCGTGAGTTTGGTGGAGGGAGACCCATCGAAGCAATAAAATAAAAAACTATTCCATTCTTCGAACTGAATTGTGAATTCATTTGGCTACAGAAATCAGCAGGACGATGGTACTGCACATACCCGTGCGTGCTTTCAATACGCCTTCCCGCCAATAAAAATCATTGATATCGTTTCTATAAGTCCTGGTATAATCTTACTAGTTTTACTTAAAACAACATTTGCAAGTTTTTAAGTGTTCAAACGAGAGAATCTCAAGGTTCTTGCATTTTTTAAATCGAACAAACTTTTTTGAATTATTGTATCTGAAGTAAAACTTATAGCTTACTTACTAAACGTACAGCGTAAATCTATACCAATATATAAATCTACAGTAGTTTTTACGGATGTTCCGTTATAACTACTGAACCATGCATTCGATTGACTTGAAACTTGGTATCCATGTAGAAAGCACATGTACTTAATGGTTAGACTAATATTTGGACTCCCTAATAATAATGACAATAAATAATAATCTTAATTTTAAATGCCCAGCGAAGCGGGCGAGTGCGACTAGTTGTTTTATATATGTAGATAGCTAGATACGAATGCACCGGACATCTTATCCCTTAGGCTACGACGACTTCAAAACAAAACGCCTAAGGAAGTGAGCCGGGTGGTCCTTTAGCCGAACCTAACGCTTTGGTCTTCAAATCTAATAGAAAGTTTGTTTTTTAATAGTTGTAGTTCTTTAATAGTCTTTTAATATATGTTAAAACACTACACTGTAAAAGTCGCAAATTTTTTAATTTCTCTTATGTTGGCCCGAATGGTATAGTACGCTGGGACCACCGGTGAACCGCATGGCGTTCAAGGTGTTAATAACTAAGAAAACACGGTTAAATGTCAAACTGAAGTAACAACTATTTTAATAATTTTAAAATCTGTCTATACCGGTCATAATATTAGAACGAAGTTATTAAATTATTGACATTCAAATGTCAACCAATTAAACTAGTCAATGTCAATTCAATTATGAATGAAAAATGACATTCAAAGATTTCGTTACATACAAACAAGCCAATAAAAGCGTGTCTTAAAATAGGTGTGTACACAGAAAATTTACAAAATCTTTAAAGTTAGAAAGTAGTACATATGTTAAAAATGACTAGGTTAGTGGTATACATGTAGACAGAACTAGGTATATTACTGAATATTAGCTAATCACCACTCACTGCCTTTCGCAAAATATAGGGAGAACGGACCTGGGTCAGTGCACAATATTTCACAATCAGTAGCTTTCTTCCACTTAATGTGCAGTGTCTTTGTGTAAATACTCGGAGAAAATGAAATTCTCGAATATATTCTTTTCATCATCTTCCACAAGGATATATTGCTCCACAAAACAAACTAAATTTAATAACGCGCCGAACAAAAAAAAATTAATAGAAACTGGTCTAAAAAGGTAATTTATGTACTTGCCAGCGAATATTCGGAGCTGAGAAAATAAATCTCCCAGAGCGAAATAATATCTGCTTATTCGTTTTTCCTGGCGTTCATCGGTCGCTTTATTATAAATCTCCCGCGGTTGAACCCATATTTTTTGCCATGAGCCGGATATGAATTTTCAATTTGAAGTCCACATACTTTTTGTCATTGTGTTACATTATTCAAGTAATCTTAACACACATCTTATCAGTGCGTTTTTTTTTTGGAACGAAGTTACTTATGGGACGATGCGGAGGGGTACCCTATCCGGGAAAAAACGTCCGTAACGTAAGATTTTAATGCATACAGTGTACGACTTAACTTTGCAATAACGTATAAACTAGTAATGCACACAGTGTATGACTTAACTTTGTAATAACGTACAAAAAATAACATTTTTTTATCATTCATTGACCACAATCTCAGAGCGTGCGTTTGCGCAATACACGCCTAACTCTTATGCAAACTACCGTGAATGAAGTGTACCACAATAAGTTCGCACGTTACCGAATGACCGTGGGTTGTTGCGAAACCTCCAGTTTTATTTTCTTTATACCTCGAATAGAATTTAAAATTAATATTTTTATAATAAGGAACTTCGTTCCTATCCGGTGTCTCACGACACCACACTTTTTTTTGTTTGTTTTAGTACATGCGCGCATTGTTTAGATGCTTAAGCCTAAATCCTTGTTCAGTTGATGATACTTCTAAAAGCTTTTTTGTTATAGTGATATCAGGTGTATATCAAAATCATGTAATAGCCACCAAAAAACGTGACAGCATTACACAGAAGCTTTAAAATAACTTGGATGTATAATTTAAACTGAAATCAACGTGATGTGCCTTAATATGCCGAAAATTCAGAAGTACTAAAAACATGAAACAGATAAAAAAAAACTAGACATCAAACAGTTCAAATATTTTAATCATTCCTAGCAAGCAAAACATTCAGGTTTTTAATATTGTGCTGGGTAGTTTTGAAATGAGAAATTCTCAAAGGTAAATTGGAGACTATTTACCTACTGTTAGACTAGCACACTGAAAGCTGTATTCAAAAGTTATTTTCATTTGAGGACTAATATCATTGGCGTAATACAAATATAATAAAATAAACAAAACAAGTTTGAATACTATTTTGCCTATTGATGTTTCCTTCCGATACATTAATATTTTAATCAGAATAAATATTAAAAAATGCTGATAAGGTTTTGAGATGATCACTATTTGAAGCGTCAGAATGCTTCGTAAAAGCGGACGCGACACGACAGCCCTCTTACCGGAGCCGTCTTTAATTACATAACCGACCCGGACGACGCGACGACGGGCTAATGCAAAGCGTTCGTCCACCTAAAGACATCTAATCGGATCCCACCGATCCACTCTCAGTGCTTTTAGTACCGTCAGTCGCCATTTTGGTCGAACTAGTCGAATATAAATTAAGAGTTTCGCGTTGCAACCTAGCCCAAAAACACAACTCATTTAGTTTCATGCCGGATGTTCTCAGTTGGTCACTATTTTTTGAAGTGAAAACTTCTTTAGAATCGTTGTGATTTCAAACCGGATGCAACGGAAAAAACGACAGGTAAGAGACACAAATACAAAAGAATGAGACAGAAATATACATACTATTTAATACAGCGCCATCTGTGAGACTTTTTAATACTAACGTGTGTATGAAAGCTCTTGTAGTGAATTTTAATTTAGGATTATACGTGAAATTAAAATATCAATTCACAGAGGGCGCTATCTTACAATTATTTACTAATGCCAAAATTTTACATATACTTAAGACGTTTAGGATAATTGTATTTTAATTTTGGAAGGTTTCACTTCTACCACGTGTGAATTGCACACATGTATCTTTTTTGTTTTTTTATTGCTTAGATGGGTGGACGAGCTCACAGCCCACCTGGTGTTAAGTGGTTACTGGAGCCCATAGACATCTACAGCGTAGACGCACCACCCACCTTGAGATACAAGTTCTAAAGTATCAGTATAGCTACAAGGGCTGCCCCACCTTTCAAACCGAAACGCATGCAACCTAGCCCATAAACACAACCCGTTTAGTTTCATGCCGGATTTTCTTAGTTGGTCACTATTCCGATTCGGTGGTAGATTCAGCGAAGCACTGCTCTTGTTAGGGCTAGTGCTATCAAAATCTCTCAGATTGACCCCCGTGAGCTAATCCAGCCATCCATCAGCGCGCAATTGGAATAGTTAGACTACCAACGATTTGTACGAACGAAAAAGTAATTTAATATATATTTCAGATACATAACATTTGACTAAGCTTCGGTTTGTATGCATAAGTATATTTTAAAATATGAAGTGTACAAAATTAATAATGTAGAACCTTCATAAGGAGCTGAATTAGAAACCAATGACATTTCCTTTCCGAACATCCACTACCTAAACGACATTTTAGGTTTATATCTTTGGCTAATGTCTCTTACAATACCATTTGTGATATCAACGATAAAAGTATGCTACAATACTCTGTCTTCTTCCTATTGTGTGATAGAAAAGTTACATACAATTAGTGTTTTCAGTCAAGCGTTACTTAGTAGATACAAAGTGGAATATTAGAGATTTCTCTTAGTCAAATAATATTATAAGAAATATTTATTGTTAATGTGGTTACAATACTTTATTTTTCACTTCGTACAGCCGTCATATTTTCTCTTTTAGTAGTTATCCGTATTGTTAACAATTCACCGTTTATTTAGTTGGACTCTTGTTTGTAAAGAGTTTCCCTTAGGAATTCTTTTCGGGATAATAGATCTCTCCGGGTACTATACGGTACTAAGCAAATTAATACTAGCTATGTTTAAGTAATGTAATGAGGACTCCATTGAGCGGTGGGTGGTGCAAGGGAAAGTCGATGGCAAAAGACTTCGTGGACGATCTCCAACACGATGGATCGACCTCATAAAATCTGTGACTCGCTGCAACATAAATGATTGCTCTCACTCTGCGAAACATCGTGCCACATGAGCATCGGTATCGCAGGATTCGACTGATGCATGACCACGACCACTCTGTCAAGAGTGTACGACACGTCCTTACGGATCCATAAGATCCAATAACCTTTCCATTAGATGCCTTCAACTCTAATACTAGGAGCAGGCTTAGGGACCCCAGTTACCGTATTCGTCGAATTCGACAAAGAGGTCGACGTGCAACCTAACCCATG